CTCCTGAATTGGACAGGACGTCTAAAATTACAGCCAGACATTCTGCTTTCTGACTCAAATGCCCTTCAACTGCAGGCTAAGTTTTCTTCCCCTGTGGATGCTCACGAAATGAGGACACAAACAAAGCCACCTTGGACATTGGGTATCATGTCATGAGATGCTTAAGCCAAGATGCTAAAGACAGAAATGTGTTCTGTCACATGGCCATGGTGCAGAAGGTGATGTTTCTTATGAATGGCCAAGAATACCATTCACAGATGTAAGAAAAGCATAGAAAATCAACTATTTCCTCCTTTTCCTAAAACCGTTACAAGAATTTTGACACTTTATAAAAAACAAAACAAAACAAAAAACCTCTTGCATTTCAAAGGAAATGTCAGCTCACTGGGAATTTTACTGAGCAAACATTTATTTCAGAATAAGAGATCAAAAATTGTAATAGTTAATTTGCCATTTTTAAAACATATGACATGGTAGCCCTAGTAGAGAGAAAACCCTGAATCTGTTTATTGAATGAGACCAACCACAAACACTGATTTAACTTGTGAAACCAGATCTTATACAGGAAAAACTAATAATAATAAGGTCCTTTTCTTAAGCTTTCTATTTGCGTACCACTTTTAATTATCCCAAAAATTTTAAACATTCATTCTTTTGCCAAGCACAGTGGTGCACATCTGTAATCCAAGACCAAGGAGGCTGAGTCAGGAGGAGCCCAAGTTCCTACACAGTCTGAGCTATGTAATGAGACTGTCTTAAAAGGGTGACTCGGCGGGGAAAGGCACTTGCCACCAGGCCTAACACTTTAAGTGTGACTCCTGGGAGCCACATGTTGGGAGGGGAGAACCGACTCCTGAATGCTGTCTTCTGACCTTCCCACCACCAAAGAAACGAATAAAGGTATAAATATATAAAAACAATTATCATCTTTACTCTCACACACGTCTTTGTTCTCAGAGTGAAAACTTTCTGAGATTCTCATTTGTGATTTCAAGGTTTCTAGAAAGAAAACATGGCAGATATTAGTAGACGATTTCAGAGATATGAACATTGAGGTTTAGGGACAGTGAGTGTAAGAGAGTTCATAGAGAAACCAGAGAGAGAAAGAATGAATTTGAACACTACAAAAGATTGCTGTTAGTTTACAGATGCCCCTTAATAAAGGGTGTGTGTGTGTGTGTGTGTGTGTGTGTGTGTTAAAAGTCCAATTTTTTTTTTTTTAAAAGGCTGATGAAATTAGAACTCTTAGTTATTATCACATTTCAGTCAGGGGCTGGAGTATAACTCGGTGCTTCACTGATGGCCTAAAATTTCCATCCTCAGTAACACCAAAAGAATTCTCAGTCAGAAACACATTTATTCGTCTGAACTACTGTTTCAAATTAGCATGCTTGCTCAGAAGAGAAGATTGTAGAACGGGCTTAATGAGAACCATTAACTTAAATAAAAAGCAGTCATTAAGTGTCTCCCTTTTTCTCCAAGTGCAGAAATTGATACATTTTTATTTTCATTTCAGAGGATAAGTTCCTTAGGGAATGTGTGATTTTAAAAAAAGTGTCTAACTGTTGGCATATTTGGCAAAGGATTTTTTTCATTAAAATAAAATAAGCTTTACAAATAAATACAGTCCACATTAAATAATCCCTGGCTTCTGTGGCTAGCTCAATAGAAAGCAAGTGAGAATTCTACCGCTGCTTAGGCCAGAGAATGGAGATACCTCTGGACCTCCCATTAGAAGAGGGCTGCTGACCAGATGCTGACAACTTCCACCTTTCTGTATCCCCAGCCTCTTGGGAAGTTAGGGGGTTCGTTTCTGTTTCTTTGGTCAATTGGTTAGTTTTGAGACAAGGTCACTCTGTACCCCAGGCTGGCCTGGCCTGGAACTCGTGATTCTCCTGCCTTCTCTTCCAGAGTACTGGGATTCAGGTGTGCACCCCATGCCCAGTTTATTTCTTTTATTCAGTGTCCATTTGCTTGCCATTGTAGTAAAGTATCCCAATCGGACCTGTAATCATAATGACGTGAGTGAGCAGGGAAAGGAGACAGCCTGTGGTGATGGAGTTAAGGGGTTGAGCTGCAGATGCGTCACTCAAGGGCCAGTGTGTGAGCTTCCTGTCAGCAAGCATCTAAAGAGAGAGTGTGCAGGTCACTTATCAGCTTGCCTGGATATAGAAAGAAGGAGGAAAACCAACAGGCAAGCCTCAAAGGCTGCCAGCAGCCAAAAGCCATGGTCACCAGGCTCTTCATGACAAACACAGTGAGGCAGTTTGAAGAGGAGGAAACTGTGCCCCAAACTATCTCCATTGCCTCTCATCACAGGTTTAACAAAAGTGCTTTGACTTCAAACCGGCACAACCCCATCTCCAGATCCTGTAAGCCCCCAATCATGCCAAGAAGCAGGGTCCAGAAACATGAAAGACAACTGATCAGTGATTTATGAGGGTTTGTTGGTTTTTGTTTCTTTTACACTTCTCAAAGCAAAATGAGACCTCAGGGATAGGTTATAATGTGGCCGTGGGCATAAATCATCTTTGTAGGTGAAGGGGGTGACACCATTTATAAGACTCTTCACAGAAAGCTACATTCCTGATCTCAGTGAGCATTAGGTTCCCACCAACTGCTAGCTAACAGGCATTCCCTTATCTGTCATTAATCATACATATGTTTCTGGTTTGACTTGTTTGGGTTGGGTTGGATTTTAGTTTTTGAAGCACAATCTGTTATCGCCCAGGCTGGCCTTGAACTTGCTACATAGCCTCAGATGATCTTGAACTCCTGACCCTCCTGCCTTCAGCTCCCATAAACTTCCATTCAACACCACTCCCAGCGTGTATGTGTATGCAGGTTTCTGCTCTTTTGTTTCCTTTCCCGTCGTCTCCATTAAGGTTGTCTTCTGTGTATTGTTTTCTGACACCACAGAAAATGAGAATAGTGAGTCTTACTGTGAACTCATGAAAGATTAAATTAAAATCACCAGGAATGAATTTTTTATGGGCTATAAAGCTCTAAATCATCGAGGAAGTTCTTCTGGGTATTGGAGTCTCATCAAGTTCTCACTTTACTCAGCTTCCATGTTAGAATTGCAGATGCCTTACTCTGCCCGCTCGGACCTCAGTGTTGCTTCTCCTCCGGGAGACTCACACGGCCAGACCTGCCTGCGAGCTGTAGAAGAATCCCACGTCTTCTGAACCGACTGGTTCTGTAATACTGATGACCCTTCTAGACAAATTATCTTAGATACTGAACCAAATATTTGTGCTTCTCTGTTATCTTTGGGAAGCAGTAGAGAGTTCTTTCCTTTTCTTGGATAATTTCTATGTCTATTTTTAGAGTCACACAAAAATGCCGAGAGTTTTATTAAATGTCCTGTCCCTAATTAGTTCTCTCTCTCTCTCTCTTTTTTTTTTTTTTACCTAAATTGATATATATTGATACCACTCTTCTCCTATCTGCTTCTGCTACATCCTGAGTCTAAATTAACTATTTTTCTCAAAGAAGGAACTCGGGCATGCAAACACAGAAGCGGTCAGGCATCTCAATTCTTCAGAAAAAGCTATCATTTGCCAGAAGACAAAAATGAGTATAAGTCCCTCCTCTGACCCCAACCTGCGGGTCTCTGTTTTACCAAGGCTGGACTTTGTCCCCGAAGGGGTGGGTAGTGCACTAGACAATTCCCCGCCCCAAGAATGCCCATGTGTCAAGTCTGCTGGATGCTCATACCACACATGCTCATCGTCAGCCTCTCTTTTCCCTTGAGGGAATTAACACGTACTGAAACCAGTCAACGAAGACAAGGACTAAGGCACGGATTTTTACCACTATAGGAAGGAAGGTTGTAACAGAAAACTCTGCCAAGGTCGAGCCTCTTTATCCCACTCACCTCTACTTGAAAAAAAATGAAAGCCTATCCCACAGCAAGGGTGACCTCGTCCTCATTTGAAAGTAGAGCTGCTCAGAGCATTCTTAAGTGTGTTCAATCATTGTATCAATTTATTCGAAACCAACTCGCCACCCTACGTGTAAGACAGAAAGCCCATCCCAGATACGTTCCTCCTTCCTGTGGTTTAATCTAGCTGTTACAGATCAGTGTAGCTTTTGTTGTTGTTGTTTGTTTGTTTGTTTGTTTGTTTGTTTTTTCCATCTTTGCCCTAGAGGATCAGCTGTGCGCACACAAGGGGCTACCAATTCAACACTGAAAAGGTTCTCTGAGCTTTAGCGCACTTGCAAAAGCTGCGTTTACTTCCTTTCAGATCCATTTTGGACCTTTCCAGTTCAAGGTCGATTGCTGGCCACCTCCCATCCCTCACAGGGCTTCTTCCTCAGACTCCCCAGTGCCCTGCTTGTGCCCTGGCCGAGAGTGCATCCAGCCAGAAGGGCGACTCGGCAAGCCCCAGCTTGATGCCCTCGATGTCTCCACCTGTTCCAACATCGCCAACCACCCAAGCTCAGAAAGGGCTGGCCGAGGGCCAAAGGAGGCAGCTGTCCTCCCAGCCTCAGGCTGCCCTGTCGGAGCCCTAGGGGGTGGAAGAGAGGAAGGAAAGTGCCCCAGCACCTGGCACAGAGCCAACCATCCTTTCCCCACTGAACGAATCCTTGATACACACCGGTCCAGTAGGACCGGGAACAGAGCCCAGCTGGACACTGAGTATCCCACGGGGGACTCCCGGAACCGACTTCTCTGCTCTGCCTCGACGGGCACAAAGCCGGTGCTCAACCTGGGCCTCCCAGGAGGGGCGCGCCACTTGGTGGCCAATGATAGATCCACGAGTACCAGGGATGGGGTGGCTGCCGGGGCCCTGGAGCACAGGACACGCCCCGAGAGCCCTGGCTGGCATTGCCAAGGAACTGAGGTGGACAGCCAAGCCGCACTTAAGGGTGGGTCCCGGGTCTGCATCTACGAATTCCCTTCCTAAAGTAACAGAAGCTAGCAGACGGAGTGTTGGAGCCCCAGGGGCGGGAGAGAGGCTGCGTATCTCTGGGCGGCCGTAGTGGCCACTCACCTGGCAGTCGGTGCCGGAGACCCCAGCGGGACAGGTGCAGCTGTAGCCGGGCTCGGCATCGGCCGCGGGGTGCTCCTGGCCGGTCACGGAACGCGGAGTGCACACGCCCCCGTTCCGACAGGGCTGCGCGGCGCACGGTCCCGGAGCAGGCAGGGGCGCGGCGGGCACCGGACTGGCCAAACAGCCGCCTTGGGGCCCAGCACCGAGCAGCAGCGGCAGCAGGGCCAGGGCGGGCAGCATCTGGGCACCGGGCGCCTGGGCGCGGCGGGGAGGCATGGCGGGCGGAAAGGACGCAGGAGCTGGAGCGGAGCTGGGCGCGGTGGCGGCAGCGGTGCTAGCGGCGGAGATGGCGATGGCAGCGGCGCCAGCGGCTGGTGCTGCTCAGCGGGACCGGACGCCTCCTGCAGCTGCGGGAGCCCGTGGTTCCCGTGGCAACCGCGGGCGGGGCCGGGGGCGGGGCTCGCGGTGGCTGGGCGCCCGGCGGGAGGACCCGGGATGGGAACCCTTCGGCTCCGCCGTCTCAGCAAGTTGCGGGAAGGCTGTCCTCCGCCCCAAGCCGCCAGGGGTCAGAGTCGTGGGCGTATCCAAAGGAAGGCCGGAAGGCACGGAGGCGGGGGCGCGGGCTGGAGCGGGCGGCCGGAGGATGCTGGGGTGGAAAGTGAGTCGAGAGGCCCCCGCAGCCTGGGAAGACTGCTTCAGATGGCTCGCAGCTGCCACTCGGGATCTCTCGGCGCAGAAACCCTGAGACCGCAGTGGGACAGGCCTGACCTCATTCTCGCGGGTGCTCCACCCGCTCCCACAACACTTGTTCCTGCCCTCGGCGTGTACAGCTCTCGCGCGCCACCGGCAAACCCAGATGACCTCTCAAGGACCTGACCTTGTACCTCCAAGGCCCTCAGCGAGGGCCTTGTCCTTGGTGCTGAACCGGCAATCTCCTCTCCCGGCTCTGCTCAGAGCGCCGCTCACCACAACTGGCGCTCACCAGAGCTCAAAAAAAAAACTTGGGGTGACCAGAAGCGGGGGATCCGAGTACCCAGCCCTATTGTTGAATACAGTAGAAAACCGAGACCCAAACAGGCTAGGCTGGAACCCAGTAGGTCTCTTGATTTGCCTCCCAGAACACTGCGGGAACCCTTGTGCCGGTTCGCAAAGGCCCTTCCAGCACACACTCGCTACTAAACTCTGACGGGAAGGAGGTTTCACGGTGACCTACTTCAAAGGCTGTGGTATCTTCTCCGTTAGGCTGCTCCTGATACGGCACGGAGGTCAAATCCACTGGTCAAAACTCAGCCGTCTTTGTCTCCACTCACAACCGACTTTCGCAGCCTCTGCTATAAATAGACCACAAAACTAGTTGCCTCTGTCTATGCAAAACTTAAAGGGGGGAGGGAGCGGGGAAAGCAGCCGGCCGGATAGCTCACATCTGTACTCCCAGTGGTACCAAGGCTGAGGCAGGAGAATCAGGAGCCTCAAGGTCAGTCTATCTAGGGAATTCAAGGCCAGATTGAGCTACAAGAAACGCTGAAGAAGAAGAAGAGAAGGGAGGATGGGTACAGACGGAAGGAGGGGAAGAGAAGGGAGAAAAGAAAAGAGGGAAAATGAGGAAAGGAGAATAAGGAAGAGGAAGGGAGAGAAGAAAAAGAAAAAAAATAACTCTTTTGGATTAACAGACTGGGCAAATTTTCTATAGAACACAAAAGATAGTTTTGTAAAAGACTGGGCTAATAAGGAAGTAGAGATTTCATGAGCTGCTTAAAGGTGTCACAGATCTAGTGGCCAGGAGCTGTTGAAAGCCCTCTAGTGGAAGCAGAAGGCGAACTGTCTGGCCTCTACGAAGCCTGTTTAGACCTCAAATAAAATCTGAAGCCCCTAGATGCTACAGGGTGACCCCAAACCTAGACAGATCTGTGCCGGGCAGGAGTAACTTACACTCCTGAGTGGACCCCAGTGGTAACTGCGTTTCCTCCCACCTGCTGGCTTTTTTTTTTTTTAAGTCCTAATTTTGTGCCACTCCAGCACCCTCTGCTGGCCCTAGTGTCATAATTCAGGTGGTTCTTGCTCTCTCGGCCATAGCAGAGACTAAACCAGTTCCTCTAGCTGCTGGGGCTGTTCACTTCCTTTCCCCAAGACACAAACGAAGCCAAAGGACTTTTTTTTTTTTAATCAAAAAGGCTGTGAGCAATTAAAAACACACTTCCATAAATTAAGTTTTTGCCTAAGCAAACCCCTTTTGAATTTCTTAACACTTTGAAATAGAGGGGATGAGGAGCAACCTTATATTGTGAGGCTGATTTATGAATTTTCTAGGTAATTTTCCTTGGTTTTTTTCTTAATTTTATGTCTTTAATTTTTAAAGGACGTATTATGGGGATAAAACACAATGCCGCACTATTCTGACTCTACTACACGCTAAGAGGAGTCTTCTAGCTTGTACTCATTCATTTTGCCTGAAAAATACAATAAAACATTGACTCACCCATGGACAAAAAGAACTGACAGACCAAAGGAAAGATAGCATCCAAGCCGAGCTTCACGGAGTGCTGAATTTATTGGGATTGTTGGCCAGTGTCTCAGTGTCTCGGCTATGCCACCAGCAAGTCACCCGAATGAGCGCTCTAACACTGAGGACTCCCACCCACTTTGGTCAGTTGCCTGATTCTCACACACAGTGGCAACTGGCTTCTCAGGAAGGGAAGGCTCTCATGAGCATCCAGGGCTTCCTTCCTCCCTCCATGATATTAATAGGTCACATCTTGTGTGGGACATCACAGCTGCTCTACTTCAAGACGCTGAAGGTCATTTTCAACCTGTAGGAGGCAGTTACATCACATGTAACATCACAGGGTCAGGTGGTTAGTTCTGGGGAACAGAACATGGGTCTGTCGCTCTCGACCCCAAAGCACCCGTGTGGTAAACACCAAGCGAGGGCTGCATTGCTATTACCACTCTGTTGATCATACACTTTCCAGATTGTAGCATTCTGTGATAGCAGGCAAGAAATGGCCTGAGACAGTAGAGGAGGCTAAATGCCGTCATTTTTTTTTTTTTAATTTGGAATAGCAAACAGAAAGGCATGCTGTCTTAGTCACTGCTCTATTGCTGTGAAAAAAGGCAAGTCTTATAAAAGGAAGCCTTTAATCATGGGCTTGTTTACAGTTTCCGATGTTAGTTCTTCATCATCATGGCCGTGAGCACGGTGGCACACAAGCACACGTGGTGCTGAAGAAGTAGCTGAGAGTTCTACATCCTGATCTGTGAGCAGAGAGAAAGAGAGTCTGGGCCTGTTGTGGGCTTTTGGAACCTGCAAGCCCAACTCCAACGATACATTTTCTCTAGCAAGGCCACATCTCCAAGTCCTTTAATCCTTCCAAATTGTGTCACTCCCTGGTGACTAAGCACTGAAATATATGAGCCTATGGGAGCCATTCTTATTCAGACCACCACACATGGGCTACTGGACTTCCAGAGTTAGGATAAACAAGACCAATACTGTTTTAATCTAGAGACCTTGGCATTTGGGAATTCGAATACTGAATGTGAAAGAGTTATTAGACCATTAAAGGTGTGGGCAGACCAATGGATGAGTGGTTGCAGGACATGACTGATACTGGCTCTCATGAGCATCATGCCAATATGATAAGACAAACTATAGCTAGAGGTCTCGGATATCAAAATTCCTGGTGGATTAATTGTGTTGAATTCCAACATTTACAAAGAAATTGTGACCAAGCCCCTAAAAGCCTCGGATCTCCTCAGATCTCAGAATGTCCCGTGCAGTAATTGTGAGAAATACGGTACTTTCTGCTGGAGAAGCCAACAAGCCATTTCTGGGGGCAATGGGTTCTCTGACAGTCAGCCTAGGCTTCCTGGGATTTGTAGACATTATAGCAAGGAATGTCATTGGACCAATGTGTGCAGGTTCAAGGTCTCTTGCCTTCAGGAAACAAAATTTGGAGCCTAGCTCAAGACAATGCAGCAAAAAGTACAAGCCATTTCAGACAAGAGCCACCCAGAGTCACCAGGTTATAGAAAAAAAGAAGAAAGAAAGAAAGAAAGAAAGAAAGAAAGAAAGAAAGAAAGAAAGA